AGAAAACAGGCCTAGATATCAGGAAATGAAGACGTCCTGGGGCACCATTCTCTGAAGAAGCAAGGAAAGACCTAGGGGAGGCAGAGGTTCCTACAGTGTAGTGTCTAAGTGGGATGTGGAGCCACCTGCCAGCCTGGAGTGGAAGAGAAACACACATGTGTCCCTGGGCCCCAGCCTGGACCTGAATGACCTGGTGGGGCTGGGAAATGTGCATTTTATGCAAGTCCTCACACAGCTGTTGTGCACACTGAAGTTTGAAATGATTTCTCTGGTGGGCAGAAAGGGAGGTCGTGAGCAGACTGAACAAGGCCAGCCATGCAGTTCTGTGTGTGGAGTGCTACACCAGAAGAAGCAAAACTTGTACTTTCAAGCTAGTCTTTCCACCCCCAACAGAAGAAAAATGTGCTCTGGCAACACTGTCATGAAAAACAAAGAAGGGACTCCTCCCACACAGCAGAGTTGTTCAGAAAGTACCACGACGCACTGGCAATAATCAATTTCAATGATTAAGGCTAATGTGTTTTGCATAAAAGACGAGAACAAATTAAAGCAAAGCCCACAAATGACAGAGTGACACTCTGTCTTGCAAAAGCACCAAACAATCTTTTAATTGAATGTCTAATTTTTTCCCAACACTGTTTATCTTTATCAGCGTTTCCAGCAAGGCACTCACGTTTTTATACCTGTAATTTGTAAAGTAAAATTACTCAAAAAGTTCTGGCATTTAGGGGAGTCAGAGCCAGGTTGTGGGGGTATGGGGGAAAAAAAAAAGTAGCTGGTCTTATGGCTTCAGATCCACTGGCTAAAGCATTGGTTTTCAACAGGAGTGGGTTGGATTTTGACCCCAGAAGGTATTTGGCAATGTCTGGAGACATTTTTGGTTGTTAGAATTGGGGGGTTCCTATTGGTATCTAGTGAGTAGAAGCTGGGGACATGGCTAAACATCCTATAATTAATAGGGCAGCCCCCCACGACAAAGAATTATCCACACCAAAACGTTAATGCTGCTGCGGTCGAACACGCCTGGGTTAAAGGATGGGAGCTAGTCTTTGCGGTACTGGAGGAAGCCTAAGGGCAGCCAGACACGTTCCAGGATTTGCTGGAGGCGCACCATGACCCCAGCGTAGATATCCCCAAGAGCCTCAGGGGCTACTCCAAATACACGCTTCATTTTACATATGTGTTTCTCAAAGGTAAAAATGTTCTCTTTAGAAACAATCATTATGACTTCGCAAAGAAATAATACAGAGCTGTTGATAGAAAAATCCTTAAAAACATTCTAGAACCATCTCATTTTTCTGGATGGAGAACTGAGGCCCACAAAGCAAGTGCTGGGTGATGTAATTCAGTGGGGTGGCGGGAGGGATCGGGGGGGTGGGGATCATCTCATTTCTTTCCAAATAAGTTACATTTCTGAAATGATATGGTTACCTCGTCTTACATGATACTGGAGGATAGTTCTTTTTGGTTATTAGTTTCTTATTTAAAATCTTCAATCCAGAACTCTGATGATACTACATATGCATTTTTTGGTATCTCTCTGGATTTATGTCCAAAATGAAGGAAGACGTTTTAAAAAATTATGCATTCTATTTTTGGTTCCAGGGTAAGTCATCTGTTTGAAATAAGAGTGCTTACCCTGATAAATGTGTTTGCTTGCCTGTTCTGGTAAAAACACGCCAAGAGATGAACACATTCATTTTCATGTGCATATCACTTACTAGTATACAGTCCCTAGATAAATAGGAAAGCAGTACATTTTTTAAAGTATAAACAACTGTAGATATTATAGTGAGCGAAAATCAAGGAAACACTCATATATTGCTCTAAGCTACATACCTCTTCCACGAATGACATGCTTATTAACAGCCCTCAACTCACCTTCTCCCCTGGATCTTTTATAGAACTGAATGTGAGAAAGACCCAATCTACTGAAAAAGAACAATGGGAAAGTCCATTGTAAAATTAATAGAGCAAAACTCAATTTTGAAAGGTATTCTTTTGCGTCTACTCAATTTTTCCCTCCCCTTACGTCCTGTAATATGGTTTACCTTTTATAGGATATATGCTTTATGTGGTATGCTGTTTATGTTAAGTACCCACATTTAAAGCAGAGAAATGCATTTGCTTTAAGACTTCATATTTTAGTTGGATAGATGGAGACGTCCACCAACATATCTTCTGGTCATCAATAAGAGTATTCCCTTTCTCTTAAAGTCGTAGTGTACTTATTATCCTTAAAAATTAAATGCCATTGTGTCCTGTATGAACTGTACAGTAAAAGTAATGCTTACATGTAAGCATTCAATATATCTTAATGATAATTATGAATTAAAAACCAGAAGAATCTTTCCTGAAACCACAGATTCCTCCTTCTTACTACTAGATTTCTGTTTTTTATACTTATGGCAAGACCTGAGCACATTCCCCTCCTCCACTTCCTTTTTACCTTCCATTCATTCCCCCATCAAAGAAGGCCAATGTGGTTTCTGTTCGCATGACTCCACCAAAACTGGTCTTGCTAAGGTTATCCAATGATATAGTTTGGATGGCTTGTCCCCTCCGAATCTCATGTTGAAATCTGATCCCCAGTGTTGGAGGTGGGACCTGGTAAGAGGTGTTTGGGTTATGGGGGTAGTTCCCTCATGAATGGCTTAATGCCACCCTTAGGATAATAAGGTAGTTCTTGCTCTATCAGCGCAAGTAAAAGTGGGTTGTTAAAAAGAGCCTGGCACTTTCCCTTCCTCTCTCTCTTTCCATGTGACACATCTGTTTCTCTTTCCCCTTCTACCACCTTTTGATGCTTCCTGAGATTCTTACCAGAAGCAGATGCTGATACCATGTTTCTTGCACAGCCTGCAGAACCATAAGCCAAATAAACTTCTCTTCTTTATAAATGCCCCAGGCTCTAGTATTCCTTTATAGAAACACAAAATGGACTAAGACACCGAACGACCTCCCAGCCACTAAATATGACATATTTTTAATCTAAATTTTACTGGACCTTTTCCCCCATTTCTTGGCACAACATTCTCCCTGTTTGTATTAAATCTAAGTAACTTTTTGGAAAATTGCTTATCAAGTGCCTTAGTCTGCTTCTGAGCTCTGGTCACTGCAGCATTTGGAGAGAGAAAGAAGAAAATGATCCAAGAAAGGAGTCTAAGAAGCAAGAGGGGAAATCAAGAGACAGCGAGGTGAGGCTCCAGAAGTAAGTCACACACCACAGTCCCCAGCTGTCCAAGCCACAGTGACAGCCTGTTTCCTCTACTTCCATGAGCCACCAGAACTGTCCATTCCATACTGTCAAGGTCTCTCAAGCATTTCCACTACTATCCATTTCTTCTACAGCTATCTTAGTTATATCTCCTCTGGATTACTGAAAATTCCTTTAAAAAGGGCCTTTCTGTTTATACCAGTGTCGTCTTCTAACAGTTCCTCATGTTGTAATGAGAATAATTTTTAAAGCAAAAATGTGATCAAATTACTCTCCTGCTTAAAGTTATTATTATTATTTTGAGACGGAGTCTTGCTCTGTTGCCCAGGCTGGAGTACAGTGGCGTGATCTCGGCTCACTACAACCTCTGCCTCCTGGGTTCAAGCAGTTCTCCTGTCTCAGCCTTCTGAGTCACTGGGATTACAGGCATCCACCATCACGCCTGGCTAATTTTTGCATTTTTACTAGAGACAGGGTTTCACCATGCTGGCCAGCTGGTCTCGAACTCCTGACCTCAGGTGATCTGCCCACTTCGGCCTCCCAAAGTGCTGGGATTACAGGCGTGAGCCACTGTGCCCGGCCTTAAAGCTATTATTTTGAGGATGCTGGGAACCACTGAAGCATCCTAAATCCTACACACGACAAACGAGGCCTTTCATGATTTGGCCTTTGCTGACCTCTGCAGAGATACATTTCTTGCTGATTCTCAACACTGTGCTCATGTCACAGTTAAAAACTTGTGTGTGGTTCCTCCATCCAGTGCTCTCTTCTCTAGGCCTTCGTTCCTCTGCTGGCTCATTCTCCTATCTCATCCCACATCTCACTTAACTGCCTCTCATCCTTTAAGCTTCCCATGAGGTACCACATTTCCTCCTTCACCTCCAAGGCCAGGCTAGATAATGACCCTTCCTTGAACCTCCAGAGCACGCTGGATTATCATTGATAATCGCTCCCTCTCTTGCCATGGGACACATCTTATGACATCAAAGATGTGTAGGGAGCTAGTTAATACCAAGACTTAGTCGATCATAGTCAGATAAAACTATCTCTATGTAATGAGAAATTCACAAAGGCATCAAAAGTAGCTTCCAAAATCTTTAACTAGTCAATGGCAAGGGGGTACTGCAGACAGATTTAAAACCAGCAAACCTGGCTTGTAGGCAGTGTCCTTAGAAGAATTTTAAGGGAAAAAGGACTTGATAAAATATGGCTTTTAGTAAGATTAATCTGACAACAGAAGGAGGCTTATGTAAACACACTTGGAGCAGGGTTCTGGTACACTTTATCTTTATTAGCTTGGAAAATCCAAATGATCCATTCAGCTCCGCTCTGAGGGGTAGGGCAGGCCCTTTCCCATTGTACTATGAACCGTGGATTCCTGAAAATATTTTTGTATTCCTAGCACTAAACACATCCTGGAATATGGTAAATGCTCAATAAAAATGAGCTAATAAATGAATGAAAGAAAAGCGTGTTACCAAGCCAGATTATGAGCTGGTAGTTAAAACAAACAAAACATCAAGCATGGCTAATAATGAACCAATACAAACTTTAGAAACTAAATCAAAGTATATGTCCTACTAACTGAGACTCAATTACGTCAGCTTCTCACACGAAGTGTAAAACCCAGCGTACTGCATTTCTGCCCCATTTATACCATATGCTATCACAGGGCAAGGTCTCTCATCTGCCCCCAAAACAAGGAGTACTATCCAAAGACAAATATTTATCACATTACTTTACAAAGTACTTTTTCCCAAGGTCAAAGCACTATCAAGATGATTACCTGAGACAGTTTTGTCGTAGTGGCAGGCAAAAGTGGGCGGCTAAACTTCTTCTGAGAGCCGATTGCTGCTGGAAATGGTGGTGCAGAAAATACAGCTGCCACACAATTAATTTTGTTTATCCACCCTTGCATTTCTTCTTGGCTCCTATGAGAAACAGATACGTTTATATTAGGACATTGCGATGTCTAAGTGCATCACACTTTGCCTATTTCACGTTACTGATTTGCAATGGCATGTGAAAATCATTTACTCCTTCTGGTACAACTAATCCCTGACGAAACTTCATTAGAGATGAACATTGTCATTAGGCGATCACCATAGAGGTGTGGAAGCTATGATCATCACAGTGCAAGACTGTGATTCTCTCCCTAGGAAATAGAAGGGAAAAACGAGTAAACACTTGACAATAAATATTTACTAAACTTTTACTTTCTGTTTGATATGAGGCTAGGCCAAAAATTAATTATAAAATTTACTCCTCTCTTTTAATTGTACTGTTTAATTTTAAAATCTAACTGAGGAATGTACTGGTAGACGTAAGGTAAAAGGATTTATCTACTTTGGAAAACAGTTTGACAGGTTCTTCGAAAGTTAACTATGCATTTATCATATGACCCAGCAATTCTACTACTAAGTAGCTACCCAAGAGAAATAAAAACATATAGAAACGTCGGACGCGGTGCCTCATGCCTATAATCCCAGCACTTTGGGAAGCCGAGGTGGGCAGATAACCTGAGGTCAGGAGTTCAAGACCAGCCTGGCCAACATAGTGAAAGTTCATCTCTACTAAAAATGCAAAAATAGCCGGGCATGGTGGTGGGCACTTTAAGTCCCAGCTACCTGGGAGGCTGAGGCAGGAGAATCGTTTGTACCTGGGAGGTGGAGGTTACAGTGAACAGAAATCACACCACTGCACTCCAGGCTAGGGTGGCAAAACGAGACTCCATCTCAAAAGAAAACATACAGATACGCAAAGATTTGTATGTTAGTGTTTATAGCATCATCATTCCTAAGAGTCAGAAAAGGGAAACAATCCAAACTGTCCAGTAAATGCATAAGCAAAATGTGGTAAATGCAAACAACCGAATAGTATTTAGCAATAAAGTACTGACACACACTACAATATGGATAAACTTTCAAAGCTTTCTGTTACATAAAAGAAGCCAGACACAAAAGACCACATAATATATTAGTCTGTTTATATGAATTGTCCAGTAAAGGCAATAGTATAGAGGCCGAAAGTAGATTAGTGGGTGCCTGGGGCTGGAGGTGAGAATGGAAGTGACTACAAAATGTACATGGGATCTCTTTGGAGTGATGGAAATGTTTCAAAACTGGATTGTGGTGATGGCTGAGCCATTCTGTAAATATGCCAAAAAATCATTGAAATGCACGTTTAAAACTGGTGATATTTTATGGTATGTAAAGCATACCTCAATAAGACTGTTTAAAAAAACCCACCTGAGAGGAGGTGAAAATCATCTGATGTGATATTTTTAATTTATGTGTCATTAGATCGAGAAAGCCCAAGATTCACAGTAGTTAATAAATATTTGTAAACTCATAAATGAATGGTAGAAATGATCATGAATCAGGACGGATTACCCACCATACACATAATCAATAAATAAAAAGTCAAAAAAAAAAAGCCAAAGCCATTTCCTTCATCAGTTACTCTGAGAGAAACCACACTAACTAACCTGTGACCACGCTAAATGTCCCCTCACGGCACCCTCTCTACGCTGATCTCTCCGGCTCCATTATTATTTCAATGGACTGTTTTTTGCATCAATTCTGTCCAAAGTAATTAGATCTCCTTAGTTATTACATCTGGTATTTTTGATTTAAGAAATCAGGGAATAGAATAATTTGAAAGTTCCTTCATGCCTAATAGCTGCAATTATACATCCAGCTATGGGTCCCTGCGTGATGTTAACCGTCCCATTCCCACACTCAAAAACCCGGGGCAACTTGTTTCCTTACAACTTCCTCCTACAGCTGGCAATTCATCCCATTTCCTTGATCACAGTAGAATGACATCTTTTCCTTCTAGTATAATCATGGACTATTGGAGCTCAGAAGGGAAACAAAAAAATAAAATAAACATTTACATTTATTGAACAGTTCCTATGTGCCAAGCACTGTGTGAGGTATTATATACACTTATCTCACGGACTCCTCACTAGAACTCTGTAAGATAAACATTATCCCCTACACTAGTGACGAGCTGAGGTTCAGAGGTTAAACTATGTGGTAGGAGAAAGAGCTAGAGAAATGGTGTTATCCAGGTCTATTTTACTCGTTTTGTGATAGAACTTGTCTACTAAAAGCCTCATATTTTATTGATGAGGACACCGAATTCTAGAGATGGTAAGTGGCTGACTAAAAGTCAAAGGGCTACTATGTAACAGACAAAAATGTAAATCCTGGGTTTCTATTTGTTTTTTTTTAATTCTAATCTTCTTGGGCAGTTACCTCGCTAATGAAAGCAGTTCATGACTTTGATTCCAACTAAAAAAATTTCCCATGCAGAACTTGATTTTATTCCTTGGTATAAAGTGGTGCTAAGTGAACTAAAACACAAAATCAAATAAAAACCAACAAAACATACTGAGTTTGAAAAAGCAAGACCCTCCAGTCGGCAGTTTTAAGTTTAAACACGTTTGGTTTCTTCTCATAGTCCGTGGCCTTGGATGCCAATGCGTGGTGCACACTCACAGCGTTTTTCAAGTCCTCTTCAGACAAGGCCTTTTCTGGCTTGTATTCGTCCTACAGAAGGATACAAAGAAAATAAAGGCAAAAATCATGATCAGATTTCAACTTAAATTTTTAAAAGCAAAAACTAAAAAGTTTTTAGAAAATTCAAGTGAATGAAAAAAATGAAATGAATGGTGATTAAAAACAACCTTATAAATGCTATAGAACATCATGTTGTTTGAAAAATTTGCTGAGAATGAGAAAATACATCTACCCAAGAGGCATTTTTAAAAAACTGATATATAATAATTGAGATAAATAAGGAGCTAAGTAAGGCCAAAGGCAGAAATATCTATCGTACGCATTTTATAGTGAACAGAAATGAGACTTGGACCAACAGTGTGATTTGGTTTCAGGATTAAATGGATAAAAGCAACACCTTACAGATAACTGTCAACAGAATTATACAGAGGGTAAAAACAATGCCATTGTGTTCTCTGCTCTAAAGATACTACCTGTTACTTTCTGTTTAGACTAATTTTTTTTGTTTTGTTTTGGTGAGACGGAGATTTACTCTTGTTGCCCAGGCTGGAGTGCAATGGCACGATCTCGGCTCACCACATCCTCCACCTCCCAGGTTTAAGTGATTCTCCTGCCTCAGCCTCCCAAGTAGCTGGAATTACAGGCATATGTCACCACGCCCAGCTAATTCTGTACTTTTAGTAGAGACAGGGTTTCACCATGTTGGCCAGGCAGGTCTCAAACTCCTGACCTAAGAGATCCACCTGCCTTGGCCTCCCAAAGTGCTGGGATTACAGACGTGAGCCACTGTGATTGGCCTGTTTAGACTTATACTATCAAAAGAAAAATGAATAGTAAAGTAAAATGATTACTCCAGCTCTTTGGCTGAAAGAGGAAAATCAATTTAATAATCAGGTGAAAGTTTAGCTTGTTATCATAAAATTGAAAAATAGGTAAACACATATGCTACAAACAGTTAGATATTTTCTAGAGTTTAAGGCCCCGCTTCCTCCTTCCCATATTTTATCAAAAACAAGATATGACGCTAAACTTGCATTTCTTCTGTAAAACACACACATGTACCCCCGAACACACACAACACATCACCTTCTAATTAGCAGTAAAAGCCGAAAGAAAGATATCGTCTGATTTCTTATCAGTCTGCTTTTACCAGTTTTCAGAAAAACAATGATAGTCCTCCATAATTCCCCTCCCTTTCATTTATCCCCTCCACAAAACAAATAGTTCAAATGTACTACTGCCATCAATTCAAACTGAGTCAAAAATAATCTTTAATGTGACAAAGCTGTGAGGCAAAGGTTTTCCCTCCACAATAAGATATAAATACCAGCTGTAATATAAAGATTATCCACATTTATAATATTAAATGACAAAACTGTTACTTTGGGATTGCAACAAGTCTTACTTTATTAAGCCTCCGAGGTTAAGAACTGCTATTGACAATGACAGTCTTCTAGAGTGGTATGATGAATAAAGGAGAATTTAAAAAATTAAATACAAGATATTTATACGTACCTGTTACATAATTCCCAATAATTCATAAAACTATAATCTAGTTACATTTTAAGATCTGTCTTGTCGTTTTTTAAATGAGATTTTTCTCAGTAATTTAGCATTCCAAATATTCACAAATCTCCTTCCAGGGAAATCTTCATTAGAGTAGGAATTTCAACTAGAGGTAGCATGACTACAAAACCCCTCCAGCTATATATATATATATATAATTACGCTATAACAGAACCCTGCATATCTGGCTCTCCATGTGGTATAACTTAGATTCCAGACAAAAACATGAGGTAGGTAAACAACTGGAATGAGGAGAAATGATGAGGGCCAAAATCACTTTAGGGAATTTATATGCCACCTCCATTTCCATGCATACTGATCCCCTAACACACAAATCACTGAGTTTGCACAAAGGTTAGCCTAGAAATTTGTGTGTACCTTTTTTTTATATTATAGGTCCATGATTTAAGCTTTTATCTTAATTCCTCTTCCCTATTTTCTTTGAATTAATATTTTATTGTTGCTTGAATTTCTTAAGATGATTACCTAGTTCTTTTATTTTCTGTATTTCTCCTTTGGTTAAGAAAGAATTTAAGGTTACAATTTTTCCTCTGAGTATGGGTTACACTGCGTAGCAGAGTTTGGAAACGAAAAGTATTTTTTCAATGCTTTCTAGGTAGTTTGTAGTTTTAATTTTTATCCATTCTTTAATCTTAGCAACATCAAAGAATGTGTTTCTCAAATTTAAGGCAAAGTTTTAGTTATATATTATTATACATTCATACTTTTATTGGTTTATGACCAGAGAATAAGGTCTAGAAAATCTATTTTTCCCAAATTTGGTAAGGTTTTTCTTGTGGCCAATTACATGTTTGATTTTTGTTAATGTTGCATAAGCATACAAAAAATTTATTCTTTGAGGGATGAATGTGTATTTATATTCAAGTTTACTGACTCAGTTCCTCTGCCCTTACAGCATTTTTCCTACTAGTTTCTCCCCTTCAGACAAGTATATTAACCATTTCCACTTCAAGTTCTTGTTGCATTTCTGATAGCTTTTTTATATATATTTTAGTTGCTATGTTGTCTGGTGCATTTAGGTTTATAACTATCACCTTCCTTATAACTATGTGCCACTTATTACTTAAAATGTTCTTCTTTATCCTGTTAAATGCTTAGTCATATAAGATGGAAATTTAAAAGAGTCTTTCTTTTAAGAAAATGCTCTATTTATCTATTCCTCACCCACATCAACAAGACTTTGAAAAATGTTTTGTTCTGCAATCTTACTAAAATTATCATGTTATGCATTTTCTGTTTCAAGAAACCTTATTTTGAATTTAGATTATACATTCTGAGTCTCCCCTCATATATTTAACTGCATCTGTGTTTCCTTGCTCACCTGCTTCTTTCTTTTTTCCATCTTGACCTCTCTCCTCTCATACCTTTGCTATTTTCTCTTCTCTCAAGTATTTTCTTTAGGTAGGTGGTATACTGTTTTATTCTTATCCTCAAGTATCTTTCATTTCTTTGATAGGTATAGAACTGGACATAGAACATAAGGCTGCAGCCTTCTTCACTTGTTTTACTTATCGTCTGGAGATTCTACCACCTTCTAGCTTCCAGTTTAGTACAAGTCCAATGCCAATCTGATTATTTTCTCTTTTTCTTGTTTTTTCTCTTAGGAATCACATACAGGTTTTCCTTTAATCTTAGAATTCAGGATTTTTTGCTAGGTTATGCCTTACTTTTCTTATCCATCCAGTCTGAAACTAAAAAGTCCCACCCTTATTCTCCCTTATGTGATCATTACTTGGGTTGATAATTGCTGACAAAAGTAATAAACATACTTGTGCAGACTGTGGCTAAGACAGATTTAAGGTCTCCAGCTATGGTTGCATCCAGTGCCAACCTACAATTCCTTTACATCTCCCTGATTTTTGAAATTCTTCCTTGGCTTTTTGTCACGATATTCTCCTGGTTTCTCTCCTACCTCTCTGGTCATTACTTCGCTATCCCCTGTTCTGCATGCCCTTCTACGTAACCGTTGGGATGGTTTCAACTCCACATTTATATCACAACGTCTAACAAACTGCTATAGGTGAATACGAAACACAAAATCAATTGGTAGCTATTACTATTGAATGACTTAGACTGTCTCATTTGGAGCCACTATAAATATTCTTCGAATATATTATCTGCTGATAACTTCATTTAAAACCAAGCTCAAAGGATGACATTCTTAGACTGTTCTTAAAAATGCAAAAAAAAATTTTTAATGCAACATTTATTACAGACCTAGGAAAAAGCTAACAGTAATTGTCACTTTGGAAGAACTGTACAATTATTTTAAAAGAGGACTCTATTCCAAGGTAGTTTCCAGAACTCTAATATACACTGCCAGATTACCTTACATTGGAAGGAAAACACTACATGGGCATCAGTGGAAGACAAGATCTATTTAATTAGGGCTAAACTGAAGTTGAAAAATTTTAAGTCTAAGAAGCTTCCACTTTTCTAGTTGATAACACAATTTTACCATTTTTTCTTAAAAAGGCAAAATACAAACTTTAAAATATTTTCAGCATATTGAATTCCTACTAGAAAAATAAAGCTCCAACTACACACACACACACACACACACACACACACAGAGCAAAAACCAAGAGCAGAGTGGTAACATTACGGTTGACAGTTGGATTAAAAAAATGACTTTATCCTACCAAGTTCATTCTGACATCTTTATTTTTCACTGAAGGAGAAGACAGTGTTTAAATGGTAGAATTGGGAAGGAAGAAATAAGGGATAAATTACTGTAATCAAACCATTTCAAAACAAGGACTATTTGCTGTGCAAACTAAATGTGAAAGAGTGAGCAAGATAAATCCAATCAAGAAAATTTCTGTAAGAAAAGAAAATGCTCCACGACATCTAATTACTACCCATTTTCTCAAATAAATGAGGGGTGAAACTGATGACTAAAAACATATTACTCTCTCGTGTTCCCTGCAATCTACATCGTTTTATGTAATAGGATTCACTGGATCACTCCACCGTCCCAATAAGCACCAAGAATGTGATTTCACAATGCCATTTATTTCAAATTTATTTAAAGCATGAAATAAGTTTTTCCCCCTAAGAAGCTTGTTAATTAAACCTCTTGGGAAGTGGAATCTTCACACACTAACATAAAAATCATCTACATATGTACAAAAAAATTGGCATCAAGTCTGAAAAACTGTACTTTCAGGTAAGATAAACTACAATTTGGAAAATGACCACATTGTAATTAAAATTCTTACCAATTTGAAAAGCACATTCAAGACTCCAGTTTTCAATATATTATTTACTTCATGCCTCATTAAATAGGCAAAATAGCTACACGTAATTAAAACAATTTTCAACAAAGTTGAAATGGTCTTGATTTCCACTGAGAGAACATAAAAAGGGGAAGGGAGACCACATTGTTACTCGGAGCTACGTGGAAATAAATAAAAATGTTAGTAATTAAAGGAAGCTGGGTC